ATCCGACCACTCATCCGCGCTATTTCCCGCTTAGCTTGTGTTTTCTCGGCGGTAAATGCGTTGTTTATCCCCTGGGAACTCATAAAAGTGATCCAATCATCTCCCACATCGTCAGCCACTGCCGGCCGCTTCTACGTGCTGACCCCTAACTCTAAACTAAATTTGTAAATGTTCACGTACGCCCCGAACTCACGTTCCTTCGCTATCAACTTATGCATTAAAACATGGGACAAAATATACCCGCATGAAATTCTCGTTTTTCGACAATCACACGCCATTTTTGAGCACGTATGGCCGTTTATCTGGCCAATATGTTGTTTTATTCGCAAAGCACGAACGAATCGACATTTAATTCGCTGCAAGATTCGACGTCGCGAATTATGGGGGCACATTCCACCAACTATTCTACCTCGGACTTTATTTGGGGTCAATAAAATAAAAATTATGAAGTAATAGTATCATGTGAGCAACGGAATTTTGATTCAAAGAGGGCATTGGAAGTTTTCACGATTGTCTTCTTTTAATTTTGAGTACATAGTTGAACTACTCGCAGTTAGTAACTTGTTACTTTGAAGCAAACCACTTTCTCCGGTATTTTAATTTTAGATTAGATCTCGTAATTTATTTCTTCAATTGTGTTTTTCAAATGTAGTCACAAAAAAGTCACAGGAGTGTTATCCCATCACTTGTAAGACCAAATTGTCTCTGTATTTAAACTAATCATGCGATCTCCAATGATTTGCTTCAAAAAAGTAATGTTTTCAACGTGTGTCTAAAAGTTGAATTCAATTATTTCATAGTTATTATAAAAATTGTTTATTTACGAGCGAAAAGGTTAAGTTTACGAGAGACGAAGTCACGAGTGAACTTTTTTTCACGAGTAGATAAACAATCTTTATCGTTGTGTATAATATTTCGGTTTATTTTGTACTCACCTACCAGAATTTCTTGAATATAAACAATGAATAAAAATTACTTTATTTCACTAGACGATAAAAGACTACTTTATCTACTGAAATTAGTAGATAAAAGCACTCTTTAACATTAAGTACAAAATAAAAGAATTAAAATTACACATGTCTTGTATGTCTGTCTCCCTCTGCCAGGGCTAACTCTGAAACAAAATTCCGTTGCTCACCCGTTGTATTACATACCAAGGTAGGAGGTGCTTCATTGCCAAGTCGCAATTTGATGACCAAGACGCTAAGTGTTGCGGTTAGAGTGAAAACATTGTGAGAGGTACACCGTGACTCATCTAAATCCTGCAAGCAGCTTATGTGATTTGAATGACTCACGGTGTACATCTTACAGCATTTTCATTCTAGCAATAATCAGAGGTACGATAAAGCAACGAGCACCAAGTTTGTACTCAACAGTGGTTACTTCCTTTCCTTATCAGTTTTCAGTTTGGGAAGTGGCCATTTCCCAACCTGAACTGTCCTATTACCACTGTTCGGAATCTCTCGGTGAGGCGGACAATCCCTTTCGCCTGTACCGATTGCTGAATGTGGACTCAAATCACGGTAACTCGCCGTTGCCGTTGCTTTGGTTTTGACCGAGGATTTGACTAAAAGGTAGCCGAACAAACAGCTACTTAAATAGAATAACAGCGCAGCAGCATGCTCCTCGCTAAACTGTTCGACTTCACGTTTTTTGTTGTGCCATAAGCGGCGCAAGTGAAATGTCGGGCACATTAATTATTTTATCTTACAGGTTGAGTTTTTGAGCTACCTTAGACCATTGTTTTCGATGTTAGAAATCAAATATTATTCACAAGTGAGATAAAGTACTCACAAGTGAGTAAATTTGACTATTATATTATATTTACTATTATATTTTTGTGGGTGAATGTTTTACTTGAATGAAGCTTCATTTTTTGGATAGTTGCACCTGTAAGATAAAACGTCGTATATCACACGTGATCGAAATGCCATTATGAAACTCGTGAACTCGTGAAGAAAATTCTCACTCGCGTATAATGATGCATTTCTAACACTTATAATGTAATGTACTATTATGAACTCAAGCTCAATAATAGTACTACTAAAAAATAATCAAGTTGATTAAATAACCCTGCAATACTATTTGGTAACTTCCAATACTACGATTGTGTGAATATGCAACCCGGCATACGTTCTTGGGGTGGTTGGTGCGTCAGTGGATTTGTTTCCGCTCATAACATATTATATTACATATCGACTGATAAGGAAGTGACCACTTCCCAACCTGAACTACATATTTCATATCAATTCTTAAATAAAGTTGAAATGTCATACTTTCCAGTTTTGCACATGAAAGATAATTTGATTATTACTTTATTACTTAAAAGTGGAAAACATTCTTCCAAATTTTTGCAAGTACCTATTTCAAAACTAATTTTGCACGGCCCAGACACCGTAAGCTACTGAATCAAAAGCTGCAATCTTCGAATAGACAATATAAGGTCTCTTTAATTAATAATAGGAGTAATATATTTACTTTCGGTGATCTCATAGATAGAGCTTCAGCTTTGAATCTCGTTTGAATAGTTCTTCATATCATAGTTTTTATGTTAATTTTCTTTTTTATTTACCTTGCAGATATAACTACTATACCGTTTTAAAAGGTTACGACTTGGAGAAACTTTTAACTTCACATCTTGTCGTTAAATTGTTTTTTTTTGACATCCTAGCAAAAAGTTGGACATCGTTTTTTATTCGTTTCACTAAGAACCTACCGTGGGTGTGATTTAATTCAATATCATTAAAAAATATTAAAAGAAGATGAAAAAATGCTTTCTAAGCTTAAAAGTAATCCGGAAGGAAAATTTTAATAAAGTTTATGGTTTCCTATTAGCTTCATTGCTAATATTATACATATAAACCTACTGTTTATTAGCTTTTGTGAAATACGACACTTCTAGTCTTCGGTCTCTTTATTCAAGATTTGATTTTAATTATTTTAATCTACCTTACATCTAACAGCCAAGAAATACGATTTAGGCGTAAAAGAGAAACCGCCTTTGGAATATTAAATTTCGCTGATTTTTCACACGAATTTTCTCTTACTGTCGCTTCTTAATTTAACAATATCCTATTAAATTTTCCCTTTTAATATATTTTCCGCAAATTTGTAATGGCTGAGATAATTGAGTAGAAAATAATATAACGTGCTAACGACATAGTATTCAGAATCAAACAAAAATCTGTGTGATTTTTTTAAAAGTGTACATTATTCTTAAAATAGTATTTTACTTCTCTATATTTGACAAATAAATAGCGGAAGCAAGATCGAGCAGCAAATGTAGTAAGCAGCTTGTAACAGGATTTCTCTTGATTATTTGATACAATTTTTCTCAAAAATTGTGCTTTTTCTAGCAAAGCTACAAAACAAATTTCTGCCATTTACATATTTTGAGAGAAAATTGTAGTTTTAATTAATTTTGTAATGACTGCATAAAATGTACATTGTCAACAAAACATTAAATATCAATACAAGATTGAAAAAATGTTTGGTACCAACTTTTTTAAATTATAATTCGGTCACATAACTACATGTCATCTATATCAAACTACCTTTGCGGTTATTTTAATTAATTACTTCAAAAAAAGTATTGACTTTAATCCGAGCAAAAGCAATTTATGTTGTGTAGCGTCAAATGTTATTTGTAACGTATGCAGTGAAAATCTTGCGGAAAACAATAATTCTGAGTGTTATGCGCGGATCTAATGAAACAGAATTAGAAACTTACTCCCAGTTTATATTTACGTAATATGTTTAGTAAACTTTAGTGTTTTAATAACTTTGAATGAGTAAATTATACATTATACCTAACTTTAAGAGCAATATCGCAGTGTTTTTAAATAAATTCTCTTGTATTATATAGATAAAAAATAAAATTTGTTCGTTTTATACAACGAGATGTTTATGTTCTTAATTTGCATATTAGCTACGCCCTCAGGTTTCTAGGAACAAAACGGCCCTATAAAGAGTCCTTAATATTTTTTATGACGGTACTAACGAAGGCATAAAGAATAAAACAAGGAAAATATGAAAACAAGACGTTCCATACAGTTATCGCTACCTACATCAAGAAACTAATAGCGGCAAGAGCTCGTAAATCAGACTTGAAAACTTGGTGCAAAATTTAATTGTGCCGATAAATTTTCTATGGGATAATCTGAGCACTCCTCGGCGAAGTATGACAATATTTAAAAGTGGTATTTTATAGAGATTAAAGTCGGATATGGAAGGTGCCGTTTAATGAGCAAAGTCTGCTAAGTTGGTCATTGGAAAGGGTTCGTTTTCGTCGGAGCAATAATCTCGTTAATATCGGGTTATTTAGTGGCGGTGCATTTATTAAGTATTTCGGTCTCGTCTGGACGCGTGCTGGAAAGTTTGCGAAGAAGCGCTTCAAGATTTTAGCAAGTTTAAACGGTCCGGCATGAAAGAAGATTAAATTTGGCCTATTAACGAGTTGAAAATTGACACCTGTCGTAATTCACCTGAAAAGAAAACTAGAGTGTTATCTTGTTAACCCCAACAACCCCAAACGGTCCAATTAGGTGAGGGTAACGGAGCGGTAAAAGCAACGTGAGGGTTATGAATGGGAGCCACTTGTACCCTCACCAATATCTTATAATAGTCCTGGATAAGGTGGCGGCCCGTTCGACGTTTTATGAATATTTAGTGTATTATTCGATAGGGTGGCATCATTTTTCCCCGGAACGACCTTACCGTTATGGTCATTGACTTGGCATTTTCTGCTATTATTATCGATTAAGAAGGGTAAAGTAATAGAAACTCGTTATTTATTCAATGAGTTTGCCGCCTTAGTAGATGTAAAGTAGAAAATCCGACCCTTGACCGAATTTTTATAGATCTCGTTTGCTGCTCAATCCGCCTACTTTTACACTACATAATACACACGCAACTTTCGAATTTTCTATAATAAAAATAATGTCACTGGAGCCATAAAGTCTGCTGTAAAACGATGCCGCAAAGTGCAGCGAAAGCCTCACCTAGATAATCGGCTGCCACTGCGACGACCACTGCTGCCAGAACCACGATGGACCGAAAACGCGCGCGTTTTTCAGCCATTAGACCGAACGTCGGGTTCAGGCTGAAGCCACATACCGACTACCGTTGCCGACGCCGACGACGCCGTGACCACGATGCATGATTGAAGCGCCTGCGTCACTGACATTTACTCTTGTTCCGATCGTCAGATTGACTTTAAAATACTTGTTTATCACGTAAGAGCAAGTGCCATGTTTCGACGTAGAGTGATAAGAAGAGATGCTCATTAACACGTCGTCTATTTATTGCCGACCCGAATCTCAGCGAAACAAGGTGTCCAATAGAACCGACCGAAGAAAATAATAACGAGGCAAAAACTACCAACTTCATTTCCGGATAAAAGCTCTTGGCAATATTTTGGCATTTGTCTTATGACAACCGCGAGCTATAAAATTCGACGTCCTTCAACAAACTTTCCGAATAATGGAAACATAAACAGAAAATTAAAAAGCAAATAAAACATTATCCGCTTTTGCTTGCGTACACATACATTGCGATCATAAAATAATCCCCTTGCAGCATTTCCAATACAGCGTCATCAAGAGATATCAGCGAGAATTTGAAAAACGTATTAATATTGTTCTGCTCCTATAGTATACTGAAAGCATACCTTTTTGTTTAATTAAATTAAAAATTGATTTCTGTCTACAACTACAACAAGTGTTAATTGTTAATAATTGAATTGAAACAAATGTGTTGAAACTATGAGAAATTATATAAATTTTGAAAGTAGTGCTTTTGTGTTTAACCCAATTACAGTTTTGGAGAAAATTGTTCTTGTGGTAGGTTAATAGTTTATTTCCATGCGAAACCATATACGGCTTTAATCGAAATTGAACCATGGCGAAGCACTGAATATTCGATCAAGTCCAGACGGTGCTCTCCGGTTCAAAACAAATTGAGTTCGTGTTTTTTATGGATTCTTCTTTAATTTGGATGTGTTTTATTGTTGATTTTTATTTTCCTCCAAAGACTTTTATTTAGGTTTAAGAACCATATGTAATGTCATAAACGCCGACCAAAATCGCTTTAAAATGTACTTAATTGGTTTTATTTCAACACTTACCGGACTGTTATTTCTGCCGTAATAAATCTCAAATCAAACTTTTTTATGGTATTGCAAGGGAAGAAAGTGTATCTGTTCCTCTCACAAGTCGAAGTTACTACCCAATACTTGTGACCGCCAAGGAAAGAAAAGACACTTTCCTTCAGTGTAATACATACAGGGTGTCCCAGCGAGTTGAAAAAGTGAATTAGTGACCTTTAAATGGTAAAATTTAAAAAAAAATGTATAGGACATTGATAGATACTAATCTAGTGCATCACCTAAAATTATTTTCAATCATACAGCATGGTACAACCATAATAATTCCACCACGGATCACTTATCCGTTGATTTATCCAGAGATTGTAAAAGTCGTTATAAATACTGAAATTCGAATTATTTTATTGTAAAAGTAAAGAATAATGGATTCAGTTTAACACAAATCTGATTATTAAGTGACATTTATTTCATCTCTTGTGCAACTGTGCACTTTTTGTCTACTGAAACAATAATAATTATCTTTTTAATGGTTAACGTTAAATATATTTTTAGTTATTGATTATAAACACCTAAAAGTAAATAATTTTAGGAAGACAATTTAATAATCTTTTAAATGCAAAAACAATAAATAAGGTGTCCATTTAAATTTTTTAAGTTATTGAACTTTTAACAAACGTCTTAATTTTTTTATCTTTGCAAATGCAACACACTAAAAGAATTTTACAACCTTATAGCTTGTATGTAACTTCTTCTTTTTGGTAGTAAACAAATATTTCTAGATGTCTTAGTTTTTGTGTAATAAATTTTTAAAAAGTGCATATTTTCGTCAAAAACCCGTCTAATTTTTAAAACTAAGGAAAATCGACCAATAAAAATTTAGCTTAAAAACATTGTCATAAAAATCTACATCCAAAAACGCTAAGAAACATATAGTGTTTCATTAAAAAAAACAAAAGTTTGTATTGTAAGTTATTTTTGAGACACGTTCTATAGTTGAAAATAATTTTAGGCGATGGACTAGATTAGTATCTATCAATGTCCTATATAATTTTTTCTAAATTTTACCATTTAAAGGTCACTAATAACCTTTTTCAACTCGCTGGGACACCCTGTATGTATAATTTTCCCTAGAAACAGGAAAAAAAAATCAAAACAGTTTCTTTTGATATTCCAGTATCGTCATTAAACCTAGTAGCATATTTTTTCGTATCTATGGAAGAAGTAAAGAGAAGTAAAATTTTTACTTTCCTGAGAGATTATACTGTGTGTCCCCGGATAGGTGACGACTTTTGTAAAAGATAGATAATTCTCGATTTAAATTTTTATTTTTTATGGTTTAGCCCTGTTTGGTTAAAGACTAATTTCCAATATAATTTTAGTTTTGAAAAATCAAGTATGCCCTAGAAGTTTTTAAAAAACCTATTTTTTGTAGAGTAAAGTGGTTTTTGTGTAGAAAATACGACAAGAAGTTATTTAAAAAAAGTTGTTTAGAATCAACATCACCAACTATGATGTCAATCAACTATGATTTTTCATTTTTTTATTAATTCACAAATCAAAGAATTTTATTTTTAACAGTTCTATTATTACGAATAAAAAAAATACATTTCGATTATTAGTCATAAATAAATTTTTGACGTTTCTTTTAATAATAAGCAATTTTATTGACAATTATTATACTAATAATTATGTCGATTCCTACCTAACCCTTTGAAATTCGGGAAATTTGTCATTACATTTTTTCGTCGAGAAATAATTTCTGAAAGATTACTAACATCAACTTTGACAGAAAAGCAGATATTTTATTATTGAAAAAAATGTAATTGTGAATAAAATAGTATACAAACCTCGGTAGAAATGTTATTACTCCTTGGACTCCATTTTGGACTGCGTCTCTCTATTCCCTCATTCCCTCATGGGTAATGACACATTTTTCACCTCACGTGTAATCTACTATGTACTATTTACTCTTTTACAGTAGATACTCATTTCGATATTCATTTTATTCGTAATATTAATATTAGAGTTACCAAACTTACAACGTAAATTAACGTGTGACATGAAATTAAAAGCTGTAAGCTGTTAAATGTTTTATTTTTGAAAATATTTGAACTTTCACAGCCTATATTAAAGCTCATTTAATTTAACAAAATGGTTATAGCTGCGATTCTACACAAGATTTTAATCTCAAATATAAATATTTTTTATTAAAAAAAGCGTAAAATGTTTTTGTTAATTTTATATGTATTTACAAAAACTGAAAATAAAGCGCTTATTACTTTTGTCTGTATTTATGAAAATAGGAAGACACAAGAGGTACAACTATCGTCGAATATTTAACCACAATAGCCACCTCAATGAATTTAGCGGCTTTAATATGCAAAACAAAACATTATTTTCTGAAACTTTAAAATATTTTCCCGTTTATTAAATAGGTACGTATTTTGCGGTTAATCTTATTTGGGAGTTTTTCATTTCGGTTAAAAAAACTGGCGAGTTTTCTTTGATCATGATTTTTGCATGGCCGTGTAAATTAATAAATGTATATGTTTGTTCATAATTGGGTTTAACAACAATCTGAATCCCTTGAAATTTCCTGTTGGTTTGATATTTTTTCGCCAAAATCATGTAGCAAATATGGCTTGTTTGTTCGTGTAACAAAAAGCAGCGGTAAGCAAAGTCGGAATTAGTTTAACTGAGCGTGATCGGAAAAAGCTTTTTAAGGCATTCTGCGTATTAAAATCTGCCAATTAAAATATCCACTGAAAAGCTGAGCGCGCTCCATTGTGATGGGGTGAACGGAGAGTTATGATAAAATTAAGATAATTCAATGAGCCAACTCCAACATATTTACTATCACAGTTGAATGCGTTGCTTGCCGCATTTGTTATCATTTTATCCCGCGTTAGCGTGATGTGTTAATATAACTGTGCTCGCTATTGTTGAGCTTAAGTGCTAATCTTGATTGTGCTATTTTTATTAACAAAATTCTGTTGGATTGTTATTTGCTTAAAGTGCAGTAAACGTGACGCGTGACCAAACTCGAATATACACACACGTAGCTACCATTCCAGCTATTACCGTCATAACTGACATTTAACACATTTAAATAAAAATTAATTAAAAACATCACGATCTACTTAATTAAATTATACCAGCTCTAAGGCAAAACAAAAACTTCATTCATTATTCCCCTTCACTTAAAACCTTACAAAAATTTCCTTTATGCCATGTAAACTTAATCGGGGTATTTTAGTTAAGATCCAATTAAATTTACATAGAAAATGGCAAACTCACAGTAGCTTTTAAACATAAATTCAATATCTTATGTGAGACAGCTCCGTGACAAGCAATTAAAAACGTCTCTCGTAGACTTAACAATGCACTAAATATAAACCAGGTTCAATCAAATGTTAGTGAGAAAACTTCTACAAATAATTTACCTTTCCTTGACCTACCACCAATTAAATCTTACTTATGTACTTATGATGTTATTTCAAATTAACCTATTTATAATCAAGTTAACCGTATTAATTAATAAGATATTCTTTATAAAATAATCAGGTTTATTTAAATTTTGTTGCATGTTTTTTATCAACAATAGAAGCAAAGTATATGTTTAAATTTATTTTTATATTTACAATAAAATAATCTTTTATAATAACTTGATATTACTTTATTTTGCTAAGGAAAATATTAAAAAGAAACTATCTAACTATGAACGCTAAGTTCTAGAAATGTCAAAATATTACGTTCTTTTAATTAATTAATTTAACTGTTGATTAGACAAATTCTGCAATATTATAATTTCCATCAAGGTTCTTATATTAGTAACCGGCTTAGCCCATAAACACGCAATAGGTCTCCAAATAAAAGTCGACATCTTATTTTACGACATCCCAGTGGAAAAGGGGTAAAGTAATGGTCTTCTATGTTATGTGGAAATAAAGAGTTAATGTGTTTCGTCAATTAAATTTTCTTGAATTATCCACAATTAAGCGCCA